GTTCGCTGCGGACGGTTGGGCGTGTCAGTGCGTCTGCGTTTGGCGCCGTGCCAAACTCGTTCTCTCCAATTGATGAAGCAAGCAAGTGACAATACTGTATCATATCCTTCGTATTACTCGTTTTCAACATCTTTTTATCTGGGTGGACGCCTCTTATTCAGACGATACTCGAGATCAAGGGAAGCCGTTCTCCGCCTTCTTGTTGAGGCGCGCATGTACAAAAAGTGGTAGAAAACGAGTAATACGAAGGATATGATACAGTATTGTCACTTGCTTGCTTCAACAACTGGTGAGAACGAGTTTGGCACCGCGCCAAACGCAGCCGCACTGACACGCCCAACCGTCCGCAGCGAACTACACTATACCTCCAACATCGCCTTACTTTCCCGAGTCGCTGTTTAATCTCTAAGCCCTAAAAATTCCCGTTCAATTCTGAATTCTCGAGTCGCCAGTTTAATATCTAAGCCCTTCGAAATGCTCGTTCAATTCTGAATGCAAGAAGAATGCATGCTGCGCTCAAAAATCATTCCTATTATCAGAGCAATTATTTTGCCCTTAATTATTCTGCTGTAGTGTGGTTCGCTACGGATGAAGGGGCGTGCGTAGCGGTATGAGTTTGGCGCGGCGCCAAACCCGTTCACTATGAGTTGCTAATGCATGTTAGCGACAACAACAGGTGGAAATCGACTGATACGACCGATATGATACAGTATAGTTGCTCTCCCACGTCAACGACTGGTGAAAAACATGTTCGGCACCGCGCCAAACCCACTCCGCTTGACACGCCCTTTCGTCCGCAGCGAGTTAGATTGTAAAACTGGTGGTGCGATATTGTTTTCTTTACTCGCTTGTTGCAAAAGCTTTGGTTTGTTTTCTATTCATACCCTCTAGGTGGCGTTTCAGGGATTGGACGTAGATTCAGCAAGCCCCCATAATCGACGGAAACCAGTCATGCATAAGTGTCAGTACTGTGGTCGGGTTGATAAGTATCCGAGTAAAATCAAAGCACATCTACGAACGCATACTGGAGAGAAACCATTCAAATGCGACATATGCGGTATGACGTTTGCCCAAAGAACTCCTATGCGACTGCATGTTCGACGACATTTGGATCAAAAACCGTGAGTGAATTCAATCCGCTGATTGATTAATTGCTAAATGAGCTCACGATACTCATTGGTCTCTTAGCTTTTTTCGAAATAAGTTTGCAATTATAAATAATTATTCCAGGTATATATGCACTATAGAGGGATGTGACCTGCGGTTTGTGTCCGGCGCACTGTTGAATTATCATCAACAAACAAAGCATTTCTTGACGAAAAGGTGTGTTGTCTAGGATTTTTGAGCCGCTATTTCCCAGTATTCCAAGGACTGCACTCGCTCGCTGCCCGCTTTGACTAGGTTGCAGTGGTTCTGGTGCAGTAGCATAATTTTAGATACTTGCGATTTCTACGTACGGCAGAGGAATGCCAAGTGGTCCGCTTACTACGCGCGCGAGTTTGGGGTTAAATCCGAGATTGGCTCCTGCCTAGCCCAACCAAGCTTTCTACCTTACAGATTCACGTACTTGTTACCGGCACCCAGCAAAAGCACTGACTTGTACTCTGGCTGACGTCTGTCACTCATTGAATAGGCATATCGCATTCAAATGACCCTACGATTCTGAATTGGAGTAAAATGCGTGCTGCATCCCAAAAAGGCATTAGTCGTCAGCGGCAGCTTCATCCTTTACCTTTTGGGTTGTATAAGAATAGGGATAGGCAGGCTATTGAAAGATACCTCCTCTGCTGAACCATTCAGCGCGTAAGGAGTGTTGAGTAAACCTCTGTGAGCTCCCATACGATTGAGGATTCTTATCCTCGGATGGTATCACTATTCACTTCTTTCAATGACTGGAAATTCCTTCTGCTATTTTCCGCTCGATATGAAACGCTTTTGCAGGTACATTTGCCTAAAAGGTTGTGGAAGATTCTTCGCAAGTGCCAGGAATCAACGAAATCATGAGGCGAGATGCTTCTACAATACGGAACAAGCTCATGATTTCGGCGACGCTATCTATGAGCAACTTGTGTATAATGATCAAGAGGAAGAAGAGGCGAGTGATCATGAGGTGAGGTTGTGCTTCAGTGAGGAAGGATTCAACAACTTCATCGAACCCATCGCTATCTCGATAGACAGGCCTATTTCTGATTTCCGCAAAAATATTCAGCTACCTCTTCATGCTGCTGTCTAGGTTCCCTCTCCCCTCTCTCGAGAGTACTAGGCTCTCATACTAGTACCACGGCCGTCATCTGAAGCTCGAACACTTCTCACCTTCCGCTTCTTACACTTATAACTGCGTTCCGGCTCCATGAAGCTAGAGCGCATTCATACTTGATTGGATCGCGAATTATGAGCGCGCTCTAATCTCGCCCCAAATACTTCGTAGTGGTGCGAAAATGCGTAATCAAGAACACGAGAAAAGAATGAACAGCTGTCAATTGACTCAGTCCGAGCTGAGAATGGGCAAATCGGATAACCGAAGAATCGAAGTCGTACCATACTTAGCTAGTCTTTTTTGCGCATATATTGATTCACCGATTCTCCGTTGTATCATAATCCTGTCATTCTTCCTTGTAGCAAGTTACGAACACAGTCTGATCCGCAGGGAGTGTACCTTTTGCCATTCGGAATACGTGACAAGAACGCCTGGGGCTTGGCTCTTCACTTTATCCACGCCTGTTCTTTCGAGATGCACCGATTCAGCCAACGACCGCATGATGGTGCGATTATTAGGTTGTCGCATAAGTTCTTATACTGTTTGATCCTCTCCTATTTCGTTCGCATGGATGTTGGTATTACGTCATCACGTGTGCGTGACGTGTACATTATACTCTTTCATTACACTAGCTATCACTCACCGAGCTTGCATTTGCAGTACACAATGTCGCACAATTTGCACTGTGACAAAACGTACCTGCGCCACTGTTTGGTTTTGCTCCACGATTTCGGCTGGAATGCAAAGGAAGCCCATACCAAGCTGGTGGATACATACGGTGAGGACGTCATCTCTTACATGACATGCAAGAATTGGTTCGCCAAATTCAAGAAAGGAGACTTTTCTCTCGAAGATGCTCCGAGGTCGGTCGGCCGATGGAGTTGGATTTGGAAGTACTACGTTCCACCGTGGAGGAGGACCCGTACCTCACCACCAGAGAAATGGCGACCATGCTTAGCTATGATCATTCGACGGTTGCACGTGGACTAGAAAAGAATCGGAGCAGGGAGCAAAAGCACGAAGTTTTTATGGGGTATCGTCCCGCTAATGATCTCTCGAGGAGGGTGACCGCCTGCGCCCGCCACTTTCTCTCCTCACTTCCAAAAAGCTCAGCTTTCTCAAACTCGATGATCACTGGTTATGAGACGAGGGATAACCCTGTGAGGAAGCGGCAGTGGGTCGACAAAGGAGAACAGCCAGAAGCCACCCCAAAGGCCGACCTTCACCCCAAAAAGGTTCTCCTGTCCTGTTGGTGGTCCAGAAGAGGCATGGAGTACTGGGAGCTGCTGGAGAAGGGACAGACGATTGACGCTTCCACATACGTGACCCAGCTGCGGAATTGAAAGATCACGTCGACCGTACTCGTGGAAGGAATGCGGAAATCTACTTCCACCATGACAACGCCCGACCTCACACTGCAAAGGCGACCCAGGCCGAGCTGGAGAAGTACGGATGGCTGATGGTCGCCCACCCTCCCTACAGCCCTGACCTCGCTCCTTCTGACTACTGGGTTCAGCCACCTGCAGCGGGAGGGGGGGGGGGGGGGGGGGGGGGAGGGGGGGGCGGGGGGGAGCGCTATCTGGACGGAAAAAAGTTCGAAACAAAGGATCAGGTCAGAAAGGCGCTCGACGACTTCTTCAAGTCCCAGCCTCCGTCGTTCTGGAAGGATGGAATCGACAAGCTGCCTGAGCGCTGGCGTCGAGTAGTGAATGGTGATGGTGCATACCTCTAATCTCCAGGCTGGTTCGTTTTGAGATATTTACAAAAAAGTCGTGTATAAGAACTTATGCACACAACCTAATATACTGTTGGTGCTTTTTGCTTGTGCTGCATAAGCTTTTTATAGCACCCCGCCCCTGTCTGTTTAATCCTATTATAGGCTTTCGTTTCTTGATATGCTCCTCCAGTAGTCGCAATCAATTTCATAGAGGGAGGCCTTTACTTGAAGCGTTATTAATTGTCCCTCCAGCCCAATCCTTTACTGGTGAGTAGGCAGCTCCTACAAGTCCTTATTTGGATCTCACTACGCGAGCTTCTGATTTTGATAAATGTCTCTAGAGAGAAAGGAGAAACTATTCTTAAAGTGGTGTTAATAACTCATTCCTAGAAGTGAAAAATCAAAAATTGTTAGTTGTTATAATACTATGTTTAGATACCTGATGAACTTGAACAAGCACTTGAGACGGTCGAAAGCACGTTGATTGATACGAAACCATTGGAAGAAAGTAAACCATCTTTATACAACGCAGGTTAAAAAGAATTATGTCTTCCTTTTTTTGAATAGATGATTTTTGGAGGTCTATTGAAAGTTCAGGGGGTGGTGTCCCTTCTTGTGTTTGTTGTGCTTTTTTGCATTCTTTTATATAGATTACCTATGCTGTTATGATGCTCTATGGCTGTGATCAGTTTATTGATTAGTATTGTTATTGGTGTTACATTAATACCATGTCGGTTAGCCAAATACTGACTGTCAAGTATTTTCGGTCGAGCATTTATCATTTAAATGCTCGAAAAGGTTTCCTTGTTCTGCCTACAAGCATGTTCAATTGTTGTTTTTTTCTTTTTGTTTTCGTTTTTTGGTCATTTGAACTGACCGTAATGTGGTCGCGCCTTTAATAACATACGGGTTTATCATTATGAATGATGCCACAGTTCGACAGCCGATTGGTTGCGGATATGTGTTGAGACAGATTGCTTGTTTAATAACACTTGTAGGTTTTTCAATTACTGTTTTTGATTAGCACTAATAAAGTGTGTCATCAATGAACTTGAAGAGTTTTTCATTAAGTGGGAAGAGTGCAGGTAGAATGATATAATGACTGAGAGTGATACAAGATGTGACGTCGACTTTGAAGTTGTTAGGTGGAAAAGGCGCAGTTTGCCGACGGGGGGGGAGGGGCATTTTGCACTTTCGTTGCTTCACTAGTTCTGGTTTACAAGTCTCACTCTGGTGAAACCTGTGAACTCTTGTGAAGCTGGAGCAAGCTCGTCAAGCCATCATGGTAAAACCTGTCAACTCGAGAAGAGGCTGTCTAGATGGGTCGACACGTCGATGGGAAGTCGTTAAAGTGCAAAATGTCCCCCCCCCTCGTCAAACAGCGCCGGTGGAAAACTGTGTTGCAATGAAAATGCCGGACTCTTATGCCGGAACAGCAGTCACTCGGTTTTTTTGAGTTACGTTTGCAACTTGCAAGTAGAGCCTCGTTCGCTTCGTATGAAAAGGCGTGTCAGGCGGGATTGGTTTCGGGCGTAGCTAAAGCCGCTCCCCACCAATGTGGGAGTGGTCAAACGACAACAACTGTGGTATGCTACAGTCTTGTCGATTGGTCGCTTCAAGAACTAGTAGAAAACGGCCTAGCGCTGCGCCTACCCACCCTGCCTGACATTCTTCTTTATCCGTAGGAACAAAATTATAGTGGGTTCGAAAGAACTAAAGGCTATGTGCAAACAGACCAAATCATACAAATGGTCGGAAACACCACCACTGAGTCCTCATTGAATTTATTGTTTGTCTTACCTGAGCCTTGAAAATGGGCGTGGCCAGGGCAAGTGGGCGAAGCGGTCGCGAAACGAGCATTGAGAATCCTTCCCAGATCGAAGAAACTATCGAGATCATAAACGAAATATCATTGAAGAATGACATATTAAAGCATGGGGAATAGAGCTTCCAGGTAGACAAGGAAAAAGATGCGCTAATTTCGTTGGAGCGTAGGTCGTTGCCATGACAACCGATATGTTGTAGCCTGCTGGCAAGAAATGCGCACTCGCTTGTTTTCCTATTGTTTTTGGAAGTGTTTCTAGTCTCTTCTGTTGTTGAAATAATTATTATTGGTTATGATAAGGTTTTTCTGGTAAATGAAACGATATGTGAGTTCGAGTTATGAGTTCGCTATTTGGAGATAGTTCGCACAAAAAGCAGCTCTTGCTAAGTTGAAAATACAGGGGGTGAAGTAACCCAGAAACATGGAAGGAAGAGGCGTCCTTCTGAAACTGGTTTCTTGACAAAGTTGGGGGCTGGGCGGGGGGCGGGGGTGGGAAGCAGAAAAGGAGGAACTCGGACATACGAAGGTGTGCAGACCTGAACCGAGCCCTCATTGTCGGTCATCTGCTGCTTCCAATCCTTAAAGAGGCAGAGGTGTTTTGAGGAGGCGGGGTCACGTCCCTACTGCTATTTCCCTTTCATTTCAGTTTTCACTGCAAAACATCCTATATCATCACAACATTCTACAGCTAATTTATGCTCTGGC